TCTTAATATTATTCCAAGGAGTTTGGAATTTGTAAATGGGGCAGTTGAGGCAGCTGAGAGTTTGAGTCAGGGAATGGCATGATGAGGTTGTCTTTGAAGATAATTCTGGAGGAGAAAATAGAAATAGAGGGAGAATATTTAGAAAATAGTCTGAGTGAGAAATGGTAATAAACTGAATAGGAGAAAGTGAAGAAGCAGAGCCGGTGGTGTTCAGATATGTGTGTGGTGGGGACGGGGGGTGGGGGGAGAGGTGGAGGGTGGAGGAGGGAATCAACATGACTAAAAGGAAAATTGAAGGGAGGAGAAATAAATATGATCTCAAGTTTTCTATTTTGGGTGTTTCAAAGGATAGCATTTCCTTACATGTGAAAGCAAACACAGAGGCAAGAAATACATTGACAGGTAGTAAGATGATAAATTTAGCTTGGGTCACCTTGAAATTGAGGTGGCAATTAGACATGTTTGGGGAGATTCTGTTACTGTTGCTAATCAAGGTTTGGTGCTTAGCCAAAGAGGTCAAAGCTACAGGTGGAGATTTAGAAGTGAGTTTAGCTGAGGTGGTTGAGTCAGTGTGTGAACTCAAGAAATGTTAGGCAACTAAAAACAGAGGAAAATATAGAACAAAGATTGTGACAGTTCTCCAATTAAGAAGTTGGCAGAAAGGAAAAGTTTGAAAATGAGGAACACAGGAGCCTATGAATAAGAGATTCGGTCTGGAAAACACTTATTTGCAGGCACAAGAGATTGGTTTCCTTCCTGGTGTTTTAAATAATTTTGGTTAACTTGCCCAGCCATCAAATTTCTCATCTGGAATACATATCCCACAAGGACGGGTTTCAGAGATAGTGGCTGTGCGAGTGCTTTGGTAACCATTAGACACACTGCAAGTCGTATATCTTATAATTAGTGTCAACAGTGGAGACTTCCAAGATGGGAGAAAGTAGTGTCAGATGCTACAGAGTTTCGAGAGAATGCTTATTTTTAGCACAACTCATTTGATTTGTAATTTAAGGAAGTTGAGTTAAAAGAGTGACTCTGTTCTCTAATCACTTAGAACAGTATTTCCCAAAGTATGGATCATGTGTCCCAGGCAGTACAGGAGGCAGTTTTGGATTTGACACAGACATAAAGTAGAACTGAATCACCTGGTGAGAAAGCCATTCTCCGTTTGATTTCTCATCGAATCCTTTGGGTTTATGTTAATAGAGAAAGTCTCAGTTGGGGCATATAAGTCTGTCACACCTCACACTAACTACTTTCTATTTTCAGTAAACTCCTTCAGGTTGTCAACATGATTCAGCTAGAATTTAGCAACATCAAATTAACTTTAAGATTACCGTCTAGAATACCTCCTTATTTTGGCAGAGGATACCAGTTTTTTAGTTACAGTAGTGATAGAAAGTTTCCTTTTTTAAAAAAAAATATTTTTAAACAAAAAGGTAATCAATTTTTTAAGTACATAATTGTATAGGTGACATACAGATATGGCAAAACTGAGAAAGTGGTATTTTAATGATGGAAGTTTGGAAAATTTAGATTTACTCAAGCCCTTCCTCCTTCTTTTGCTGAGAGTGACTACCTTAGTTCAACCAGGTTGGAACAATGTAGGAAATTTATTCCGGAATGTGTGTGTGTGTGTATGCGTGTGTGTGTGTGTGTGTGTGTGTGTGTGTGTGTGTGTGTGTCTGATCTTTGGGTCTAGACTTCCAGATCCAGACCCCGTCCTTCCCCTGAGATGTTGTTGGCTCAATTTTTTGAAGCCACTGGACTTTTTTGAATGTTTGTGTCCTTAGGTGTTGCAATGAGAGTGTTAGTTTTAAAGGATTACTAGCATTCCTTTGAGAAATAAATTCTATGATTTTTGGAGTTATTAGTAAATAAGCCTATGTTTTCAAATGGATAAAAGTCAGATAAAATATTTTCCCTCTGTAAGCCATCAATATCATGTGTCAATGCCAGAGACTGTTCCCAGACTAACATCCACAGAAAGAAAAACACCAGTGAATTCATTTTCTAATGATGATTCATATTTTGCCTCATTTGTGAAGCTTAGTGATTTCTAGAAGAAATCTCTGCTTTAGTTGGGGCAATTGACTAGAACTGAAAATGAAATTACATGTGAAAATGTGGTTCAGTTCTCTGAGCCTAATGTTTTATGCTAACACCCTACTCTCAAATCAGTAGAGTCATCACTGTCATATCTAATCAATTAAAAAAAGCCCATAAATTTTATTCCTCAGTGTAGCAGCACATCTATAATAATAAAAGCATAATATGCTAATTAGACCAGATGTCCTTCTGGACATCCTTCTGGATGACCTTCTGGACGACCTTCAGGACAAAGCTGCGGTAGGCAGGGGCCGAAGCAGAGGCAGGCAGGCGGTGGGTGGGGGCTGAGGCAGAGGCAGGCAGGCAGCTGGTGGGGCTGAGGCAGAGGCAGCCTCCGCTGCGGCGGGGGCCGAGCCCCTTGCACGAATTTCATGCATTGGGCCTCTAGTAGGTAATATAAGTCCCTATACTTAAAAAAAGACATCTTCACTCATTTACTAATGTCTTTCCATATTTTAAAAAAACTTTTCCTGGAATAAAGAGAGGGGAGGTGAAGGATTTTCTAACTGGCTGGAAGTCCTCCTAAGTATTATTGTGATTTAACGTTACTCTACATCCTAAGTAATTCTTAAAAATAGAAGCATACCACCTGTTTGGAATATAACAATATGGCGACTTTAACCATCAAAAACACAGCCGAGGATCAGGGAGTAATTGAAAAATAGATGTAGCATAAGGATAGAAATACACACACATACAGTCTTTGGATCTGAAAAATTTGAGTTTGTTACTGCTTTTTAAAAGTTTCCATATGGACAGTTTCTTCTGTATGGGTAGATAGTATTTACCACTGTGGTTTTTGAACTATATCATTGTCACTTTTTGCCCTAATGAGGATGATCTTATACAAGCAACTTAACCATTTTAAGATTCTGTTTTCACATCTGAAAAAAAAAGGATAATAATAAAAGCCATTGCTCTGGCCAAATTAATGTTTAGATGTAAAATCCTCAGGAGTGTAATAGATACCTCCTAGGACCCTCAATGAGTATTAATTCCTAACACTGCAAAGACACTGTCTGAACAACAGATTAAACGTGCACTTGATTTTGGAAGATCATCTTTTACCGCTCTTTAGAGCCTCTTTCTTTCTCATATTCTCTGTATAATAATAAACTTGATTTCCTGATTTCAATGCTTATAAATAAGAACAGCAGATTAGAAGGTACAAAGGACACCAGGAGGAAACAGACAAAGAGACTGAATAAAATAGAACTAATTTTAAAACCAAAGCTACCTGGTACCATTTGGTATGGGGAAACAGCCTCTTATAACCTCAGAAGTCACTGAAGGATTTTCTATATCACAGAAAGATATACTAGTAAAAAGAGGTATTCCGAATGAAGACCTTGATTTCTCAGGGCTGAATTAAATGATACATACTTTTAATATGATAGCAACTCTAGTTGCTGCTTATTTTATAAAACATAATGTGCATTTGGGAAGAATTTCAATATGAAAAGAATGAAACTTGAAGTCAATAGTGTTTTGTGCCTTTTCCGGGTAAACCCTTAGCCATCCAAACACTGGGCCATGGCAGTGGACTCAGCATCCAGGGGGTTTACTGAAGTATCTTGTGTGACTCCAGCAACTAAACTAAAGTTCCACACCGTCTGTGGAAGAAGATAGGCCTTTCTAATCATTTTATGATTTTTGTGCCGATAGCCTTTTCTTTATTTTTCAAGAAAGAGCATTTGACAGAAGTTACTGTGGACATCAGCAATATCCACTTCCCCCATTCTTTCCCCCAGGACTCTGTGTTAGGACGGTGGACTCAGGCAGGACCCATTGGCTGGTATTCATGGGTGTCACCTTGATTCTCATGGTGTCACCTGTGATTCTCGGGGCAAACATTTGAATTGGGCCTGGCTTACACATTAAAACAAAAGCCCTTTCTAAGTTATACCCATAAGGACAGCACACACATACGTTGGTACAAACTGAAGTACTAACCCATAGTAGACTGTCTCAGTTCCACAAATATTTGAGCTAAATGAATGTGAGAGAAGTGAAGAAGTGGGCAATGGCAGATACCACAGAGAGAGAATATATAGAATCCAGCACCATCAGACGTCAACCCGTCAAATACCAGGGCTGGATTTTTCAAAGAACCAGATAATGCCAGTTTTATGGCCACTAATAACATTTCAGTTATATAAACAAAGATAAAGAGTAATAAAAAATAAATTCTGCTTCGCTGTGTAATCTGATTGCCAACAGGGTTCAGAAACGAGCTTTCTCGTTGTGCACGTGGCATTGTATAATGGACCAGTGATCATTCTGCAGGCCCCTCCCCAACCTTCCATTTCCCTTTTATGGACAGTCCTTAGTTCTGCCAGATCCATAAACTATTCCAGGGAGGCAGGTTAAAGCCCTTTGATTGTGCCTCTGGTAGTTAATGCACCAAATGGTCTTTAGGGGCATTTCATAGTGTGCTCTGCAGCTAATCAGAGTGCCTTGGCCCAGTGATTTCCTACCTCTGTGCTTTCCACATGTTTAAGGGCTCAGTTCAAATACCAGGCCCACCGACTTCTGGAGAGACACGACAGAGCCCAGCTCTGAGTGGGGTGTCTGCTTTAAACAGAGATTTTCCAAAGGATATCCTGGTGTAGATAAATCATTTCATTAGGCCAGGTTCACTCTGCAAACCAGGAAGCAGAGTGCCTGCCGTGTAGGAAAACTCCGATAAACTTGTTATGGCTGTCCTCTGAGCACTTGTAAATATTGTTGTCCATGTCTTTTATATAGGCTCCTTCGAGATTGTATTTAAACACTGACAGGTTCATTATGTGTTTTAAAGCTTTGTTTATTGAGAGCTGATAGCAGAGTTGCAAATATGAGTCCTTTCCATATTGCAATGACATTTTTTTTCTTCCAAATGTCTCCCCTAGTTGATCACTCCCCATGCCATCCGCGTGCAGACCCCTCCTCGGCACATCCCTGGCGTTGTAGAAGTCACACTGTCCTACAAATCCAAACAGTTCTGCAAAGGGACTCCGGGAAGGTTCATTTACACAGGTAAGAACCACTGCAGGGGTGAGCACAGGGCTGCCTTGGCCTCGTGAGTCTTTCACTTGATCTTGTATGTATAAGTGTGTATTTTTTTAAAAACTCTAGTTTCTGTTAAGAACTATTTTCTTTCTGTATTTCACCATATGCATGACCAAATGAGTTGCTGCTATTATTATTATTATTATTATTATTATTATTAATTATTATGAATTCACCTGGATGGCCATGTTGAATGACAGGATCCGTCAAAATAATGGGTTGGATTCCTCAAGAAGCAGAATGAGAAATAAAGGAAGGGGGAAAGGCCCTAGACAATCCTGAGTCTCTCTGGATGATACACCATCCGTGCTGGGGTTGGCTTGCTTTATGGAGTACGGATGTGCTTTAAAGAACAGTGCGACTTTCTTCCAATCTGGGCACAGCTTTTGTACTGTAGACAGTTGGTAGTTTGCACATTGACTTCTGGGTTGGTGCTTTGTTTCCCTGTCAGCTGCAGTTGGCATGCGGATCTGCCTCGTGGTAAGAAGCTAGGGTTACAGGTGGGAGGTGAGTTCCCTCCCATCGGTGGAGAGAAGCAGGCAGGTTCTCTATGGAAATACACTGAGTGCATGGTCTGAGTGCCCACTGTGCACTTTCAGAGATCTTCGGATTGTGCCGTGCAAACTGGACATGCAGGGATCTGTTTGCAACTCAGATTTTGATTCAGTAGCTCTGGGTGGGGGACCTGAGAGTCTGCATTTCTGACAAGCTCCTGGGTGTGGCTACTGCTGCTGGTCCAAGGACCACAGTGGGACTCATGTACCCCCCTGATTCGTAGTAGTCATCCCTACATAGCTGTCTCCAGGAAGTGGTCCCATGTTTCCGTCTTCATTCAATAAAGGACCAGTGCAGTCTGTTAACACATCCTAATTATAACCATACAATTCAATAGACACATTTTATTTTGCTGTGGCATTTTACCTCAAAGCATCTTACCTTTTGTATTTAAATACCAGGAACAAAATCAACCATGCTTCTTAGTGTCTGTCTCTCTTTCTCTTTCTTTCCCCAACCCCCTCAAAATTATAAAAACAATTAATGTATCCTGACCCTTGGAAATGCCTCCCAGCCCTTTAAACAAAATGCAGGTTTGGTGCCTGCTTGACGATTAGTTTTAGTTAATTGAAAATTATAGGATTGACCCAAGAGGAAAATTTTGTTTGCACTCCAATCACTTTTACAAATTAAGGAAAATTACCACAATTTTGTTTAGCTAAGGTTTCACACTGAGTTCAAGAAATTAGCTCAGCCATCCCAACAAAGTCAGCACTTTGTTAGTGAGCACTTGAAAAAATAATAGTCTATCTGGAGTTTTGTGGTGTATACAAACGAAGCATAGAGAAAGCGACGATGCTTTATAGAAGTAGGCCAAGTGTTTTTAATTAGGCTCATTGGTTCAGCGTAAGTTTTGAAGAACAATCAAACTAGCAGATTAGCTGTTTCTTTTAAAGCTAGGATTTCTTGCCATTCATTTTTCCCATGAGAACTTCCACATAGCACTACTTTTTTTTTTTTTACAAGCCTCATTATGGGCCTGCAGGAAAAGGACCAATTGCAACTTCTGATACTGTAACATTCCCCACCATCATTCCGATGGGTGGGAGTTTTTCACAATGTTCCTCGCTGAACTCGGTGTTCTGGAACATATTACAAAACCACAGAGGCCAAATGTTTTCTCTGAGGAGTTTGGACTCTGCTTTTGGCCGAAAACATTTAGGCCTCGCTGGCTGCTTATTTACTCTGCTATTAAGAACAAGAAAAGGAGAAGAAAATGTCGTGTGGTGGGAGGTACAAGAGGCAATCAGGCATGATTCCGCCTTGGTGACAACGTCCCTGCCCATTAATGGTTCCATTTTGTGGTCAGGTCTCATTTAGAAGAAATTATTTTTAATCAGTGTTCAACAAAATATCCCCTTGAGCCACCTGGCCATAAAGTTTTTTTTTTTTTAATCATCCCCATTAAATTACTTAACTTCTCAAAAGAAAATAGCTAGGGACCCATCATTATTTGGAATTTTTTTTAACCATTTAAAAAAAATTGCCATCAATTTAAGAAATCACATCTTGGAAAACCCGTATCATAGGGGAATTAAGATCAAAGGTAAAAGTGGCATATTTGCCAGTCTAACAAAGTTAAGGATAAGAGGGAGAAATCCTGGGTGTGTGTATACACTTGTAAATGTACAAGAAATGTAAAGTATAAAGAATACTTCTGCTGGCCTCAGACTGTGGGCAATAGACAAGAAGACTTCGTTTTATCAGCATTCTAGGAGAGAGTCTTAACCTCTCCCCATGTGGCAAAAAGAAAAATTTGAAGAAATTGGCATGAAAACTTCCCCACTGATGTAGTTGGCTGTTAACAGTCACGGTGACATTATGTCCTTTCTAACAAAAGGGAATCTCTGTTAAAGGCTGAGCTATACATGGGCCTCTTGATCATTAGCATGAAATGCCTGTACCCAGGGTCACTTGTTCATGGTGGTGCTCCCAGCTCCTGTGACTTTCTCAGTTTACCTCTCTGCTTGCCACCGCTCACTAGTGAAGGCATAGAGGAGGGTGGGAAAACCCCTCCTCTGTTCATTGTATGAGAGCACAGGTCATTGCAAATGTTAGCCCTCTTCTTCCCTCCACCCACAGAAGCTCACACTTCATTTTCTTGAACATCCACAGTGTTTCAAGATGTGAGAGTTGGTTTTCTGCATGGGGAGCCAGCCCTCCTGTTTCATAATGGAATGTCACTTGGAATTTTTTCCTTAAAAAAGAAAAAAATCCTAAGACTTAAAAATAACAACCCAAACTGAGGCACAGTTGCTGTTTTCTGAGCGTGTGTGAGAGGGTTTGGGTGTATAGATGTGGAAGTCTCTGAAAATTCATAATCGTTAAGAGAGAGAGAGAGAGAGAGAGAGAGAGAGAGAGAGAGAGGAACAGCATGGCCTAATCTATGCAAATAGAGGCAGACTTTTTGAGGAGGGAGGGAAGGATTTGACTAAACACAGATTGCCTGCAAGCTGGCTCCACTTGTAAGGACTGTGAGCGCACCCTCCATCCTCGTTCTTCAGCCCAGGGACATGTGAGGGATGCTTAGCTGCCAGATGTGCGGGTCTCCTGTGGTTGCCCAATCAGAGCGCAGGGCAAAGTGAATCCCAACTTTATTAGACCAGAGAAGCTCAACAGCACTTTCCCAGTCTTCTTTGTTGTGGCCAGTTATTCTTACGGAAACCCAGGGCAAGGCTGACTTTAAATGCTCAATGTTTTCTAATAGAAGGAAGCAAACACCCTTTCCAACCACAGGACTGTTTTCAAAGCCCTCCCTCTAATCGGGTTTCTGGTCAGTCGGTCCAAGAGGAAGCAAACCTCCCATAAACCCCCAGTGCCATGGAAGGGGGTCTTCCCAGAGCCTTTGTTATTCTCCCAGCTTGTTTTCCTGCAATTGTGACATCTTTAAGAGACTTGGATCTTGTAGGATTGTAATCTCTCCGGCTAAACTTTAAGTAATCTTTGGAGCTGACAAAAGACTCTTAGGAGCCTTTAGCTGCTTCTTCAAAGTTCTTAGAATTGGTTTTCCTGTTAAGAAGTGGCCAAATCCAAAGGCAGTTTTTACTTCATTCCAGTTATTTCTCTATTGGAGAGGCTGCTACCTTTAGGGAAAATGTAGCTGGACAAATGGACCACTGGGACAAGGTTCGACCGGCTTAGGTGTGCACGAAGAGCTGAATACTGCCTGCTCCCTGCAACGTTGGAGAAAGCCCCAAGGATAATAATCTAATCACTCAGATGTTTGGTTAGATCACTCAGACTATTTCAACCTCCAGGTTCTCCCATTCTTAACATTGTTCACCAAACTTCCTGTCCCTGTGGAAGGACTGAACCAAATCCCTATATATTAGTCTCAGAATTAACTTTGAAAAAAATTCTTCCTGGAAATGTTTCCTGTTTGTACCTCATGCCCAAAATAACTGCATATAGAAGGGCCATTGTATTGTAGCTGAATCTGCTGTGAAACTCAATGACATGCTCGCCTGTCTTTCAAGTTTTCCTTTTTTCTCTCCGTTCCTCTTGTGTTCTCCCTCTTCCCCCTCCCTCTTTTCCCCCTTTTCATGTTCTTCCCCCCATTCTTTCCTCCCTCACTTCCAAGGATATGGTACAACATAGTGATTGATTCTAGGGTTCAAGAGATCATAGGTGTAGATCCAACTCTCAAACTCTACCACTTACTAGAGAGGTTATGTTGGGGACATTGATGGCTCTGCACCACAATCACCTCATCTTTACAAGGGAATCATACTTTACTGGGGTTGTTTAGTATCAGAGGAATGTATGTAAAGTACCCAGCATGAGCTAGCATGAGCACCTAGCCAGATATTGGGTGTTTGCTTTAATGACTGATGGCCATCATTATTATTCATTCATTTCTTGCAGAGTCCCTACCATGGCGTAAATGTTTTCCATGTATTGTTTATCTTCTCCAGCATTTCCCTAGAGGTCTAAGAAATGTCCTTTAGGACTTGTAGTAACAAAACTGTAGGCATCAGGAAATTAAAGAAACAAGTAATGCCAATCAACCACAAACAAAAAGAGCAAACTATAAATAAGGTAACAAGAAAAAGATTTATAAATGTGAATACAAGAATTTTGATAGACCAACCATTTTCTCAGGAATGGCCTCAAGAAAGACATGTTATAATAAGGCAGCCCTGATTCGTCAAGTTTTCTGATGTTTGTTTTTCAGGAACAACACACACCTGTTCTCTTGTTTCCTACCCCTAAACTCCTACCCCTCCTCTGGAGGTCACAGCAACATGGATATAGTCGATCCCCAGACCCCTTCAAAGGTGTTTAAGTTTTTGAGGAAACGCCATACTGTTTTCCACAGTGGTTGCACCAGTCTGCATTCCCACCAGCAGTATAAGAGGGTTCCTTTTTCCCCGTATCCTCACCAGCACTTGTCCTTTGTTGATTTGTTGATG